ACACAGCTGTTGTCACCAACGTTGCACTTGCTTACGTCACTGTCATGAGACATTCTCGCAAAAAAATCACGGTTTAGTAACGCAGTAACACAGCGTTCCTACGGGAAAGTAACGGTAATCTAATTACCATTTTTGCAATAGTAATCCCTTACTTTACTCGTTACTTGACAAAAGTAATCAGATTACAGTAACGCGTTACAAGTAACGCGCATTCACCGACTCCTTTCTCTTTCGTGCCACCTTGACTCCTTTCTCTTTCGTGCCACCTCGGCTGAGAAATCCTGATAGAAGGACACTTTCATGTTCTGGTGTTTTCTTAAGCTGCAGTCCATTTGACCTCTCAAGGCCCACATACTTTTCATAGGTTGTAGGTTTTTATTAGAATGGGAGGGAGAGCAGTATACCAGTATTCGGGTCCCTCTTCTGTGGAACCAGCTTCCAGTTTTGGTTTGGGAAACAGACACTATCTCTACTTTTAAGATTAGGCTTCAAACTTTCCTTTTTCCTAAAGCATATAGTTAGGGCTGGACCCTGAATCTTATCTTAGTTATGCTGCAATAGGTGTAGGCTGCTGGGGGATTCCCATGTTGCATTGAGTATTTCTTCTTCAGTCACTTTTCTCACTCAATATGTGTTAACAGACCTCTCTGCATTGAATCATACTTGTTATTAATCTCTGTATCTCTTCCACAGCATGTCTTTATCATGTCTTCCTTCTCTCACCCCAAAGGATCACAGCAGATGGCCCCGCCCCTCCCTGAGCCTGGTTCTGTTGGAGGTTTTTTCCTGTTAAAAGGGAGTTTTTCCTTCCTACTGTCGCCAAAGTGCTTGTTCATAGGAGGTCACATGATTGTTGGGTTTTTGCTATGTATTATTGTAGGGTCTACATTACAATATAAAGTGCCTTGAGGCATTGTGCCATTGTTTGAATTGAAGGTCTTTCTTCATTTTTCCCTTAAAAAAACAACAGCAAAAACAAAACAATCAATCAAAAAACTGAAACTGAGTGAGGTCACGTGCAGAATTCACTCAGACTGTGGGA